AGGTTTGTGGATTTTGGGAAGGAGATAGAAGCGGGCAGTGCGAGGTTGGGGAACGATGAGGTTGGAGGCCGTGGGTGGGAGGTCACCTGAGGTGATGAGGTTGTGGATGGTTTGCGAGATGATGGTTTGGTGCTCAGGGGTGGGGTCATGATCAAGGGGGCGGTAGGAGGAGGTGTCGGAGAGTTGGCGTCCGGCCTCGGCGATGTAGAGGTCAGTGCGCCATACTACAACTGCACCTCCCTTGTCCGCAGGTTTTATGGTGAGGTTGGGATTGGAGCGGAGGGAGCGGAGGGCTACAATCCTACAATGTTTAGACCGGTTTATCACTAGTGTTTTGACAATGCTAAAACAAGCCGCTACACAAATCTGAATCTGCCTCTTTGGGATATTTCGAATGGAGACATTTGATACTTGGAAGAGGTGCTCTTACAACGATTTAAATATGTTTCATGCTGTAATATCTACATGCGCCTTGGGAATAATATAGTATTAACAGCGAAGGGCATCCCTGGATGTGTCCACTGCTCATAATCTGTTGCTCAGGCTGTGTCCTTCCGTTTAATTGATTTTGTCCTTCCGTCCATCCATCCGAAGATTGTGACTTTAGACCCCCTACTCAGAACTCCCCGTGACATGGTTTGTCATTAAAAATGAACTTGGCTGATGGGGATTAGTCCACCAGGCTGGTCCGAAATTGAGGAGGTCCTCATATGGACAAGCTGTGGGGTAGGGGCAGCCCATCAGTAGGAGTGGTCCCAGGCTGACATTTGCCTAACTTGCTTCCCCAGTGTCTCAGAGAGACAATATGGAAACAAATGTATTTATTACTGGCTCTAGAGCACATACAGAAACTCATTTAAAGACATTATAACAGACTTTTGAGAGATTGGAATTGGAAGGACAGCTTCAGTTCCAACTAGGGCACAGCATTAAAATCTGCTGAATAATAGGAAAAAGATGCTCTTTGAAGCACTCAGCAGTATTATCAACATGGGTTCCCATTTTCTTTGTTGCATCCTCCTATTGAATCAGACAATGAAATGAGATTAAATCAGGAGACTCCACGGTCTAAAGGAAACCCAGGACTCTTCACTGTAGACGTCCAAGCAGCAATCAGGCAAAGCAATTAAAAAGCTATTGAAAAACTGGCAACATGTGACCAAAATAGAGGAATATAGAATTTTGTTTTGCGGGGTGGGGTTAAACTGGCTGCACAAAGTCAGGCCACATTTGTTTCCTTTTATTTATGGTGATCCTGATACAGTAGTTTACAAACCCTCAAGAAAATGATTTTTAGGTGGTAATCTGGTTGAGTCAGCAGGCAGGATCAACAGTCCCTGATTCTATCTTTGTATCTTAGATCAGCCAAAAGCACTGGTTAAAATTCAAGTGAAATGGATGTGGAGTAATGTTGTAAGAGACTGGGAGTTGTAATTTACCCTGCATTTAACTTAATTCTGTTTGTGTGCTGTTACTGAACAATGTTTGAAACACTCCCCATGTCAGACAACATCAGAGAAATGAGAGTTAAAGTTCGCATTTTGCTGTTTCTCCACAGATGCTGTATGGCGTTTCCAGTATTTTCTGTTTCTCTTTCAGGCTTCCGGTATTTTTGTTTTTGTTTTGCCCTTTTACCAATGAATAACCTTTCTCTAGTGACCTGATTGTCTGCCTTCAGTGCTGCAGTTATTGGATTCTCTGTCCTATGCTGTTGAAGTCAATATTTTTGCCAATCCTGACTGCTTCTGTCGCATGCTTTACACGTTTGTGGTTTAAATATACCATTGAAAGGAAACAAAATTGCATTTATGTAGTGCCTTTCATGAACTAGCTCACAGTTTTTAAGCAACCAATGATGTAGTTTTGAAGTTGTAGGGAATCTACATACAGCATAAGTCTCCAGCAACACCTCAACGTATGATTAAGTCATCTTGATTTCCTTTTAGTGGTGTTGGTTGAGGGATAACCATCTTAACCTGCTTTTCGTTGAATAATTCTATCCAATCTCTTTCCCATCTGCCTGAGAGAGGGAGAAAGGCGCTTTGGTTTATTGTCTCACCCAAAAGTCAGGACCAGTGATAGTGAGCATTCCCTTTTGTACAGCACTGATTAGGTTCAAGTCATTGGAGAGGGGCTTCAACCTCTGACTTGGGCAAAAGTGCTACTCACTGAGCCATAGCCGACGCCATTGATAATTTGAAGGAAAAATATCTTTAGCTGTAGGTTGTCTATCTGAGACCATTGTTAGCAAGGCCAGTTGGTGCCCCCCGGAGATGACGCTTCCTGTCTGATTGCTACATTTGACATGGTCTCAATTTCCACTGAAGGTTGTATTGGTACCTTAAGGTGATGCTGAAGTCAAGCTGAAAAGTGGTTTGCGTTGTGTTTACTACTGCTGACTTATTGTGTCGGATTGTGGTTATAAAATGCTCATATAGTGACAAACAGTGTTAATCCTTGGATTTGTCTACTCTGAGAGTATGTGTAAAAAAAGGGCAAATTGTTGATGTAACCTTGTCTTTGATTGAATAATTGTTTTCTCAGCAGTAATCATCAAACCAAGTTAAAGTGAGATCTTGTACAATGTGGACTTTCAAGTTTTGGAGAAATGTGATCTCTAAGGTAGCAAATGGCAAGTGAAGAGTGGATGTAGAGTTGGGGGCTGGTTTCTGAATAATTTGGAGATTTGAGACAAAGGGAAATAGAGGCACAATTAGTACTGAAAAGCTTTCAAGGTGACCTATTCACCCCTCCTTTTCTCTTTTCCCAAACCCAGCGTGTGTTTGTCACTTAAGCCCTAAAGAAATTATGAATCTAGAAACAAGGTTTAAAATTGAGTGATAGTGGATCATGAGCAAATGTTCAAATCAAGAAAAATATTATTACAGATCACACTGAAGAAATTCTGCACCCAGCTTATTATGAAAGGTAAGACCTTGACATCACGAACTTAAATGAACTGTTGGGGGCTGAGAGGAAGTAGAGTAAATGTCTGCGGTTGAAGTATAAGGAGCTGAAATGGCCTCCTTCCCCTGTATTAGTGATAACACTTGTTCATTTATTTTTATTCATTTTCAGACCTACACCTGGCAGCTGAGTTGGGGAAAACGTTGTTGGAACGCAATACAGAATTGGAGGAAGCCCTTCAGCAAATGTATGGGACCAATCAGGAGCAGCTCCAAGAGATTGAGGTGAGAAGTGGAGCCTGTAACTTCATTTTGTTTTCGAAACATCAAGATGAGAATCAGTGAGTGCTGTATTTGGCACAGATCAGAAGTCTGCTATGAAATCAACTTTACATGTTCCCTTATCTGAGTGTATAACATGTAAGATCTTTTAGCCTTTGCACTTCTGCTATCTTATAATGTTCTTATCAAACAGACCTTTGCTACGTAGGTGGATTTTCAGAACAAAGTCTGATCAAGTACTTCAATAACCTCTGGTGTGGCCTATATTGCAAATATATTATTGGCAAAACTGTTACCCATTTCCACTAGATTGGCAGGCTACCCTCTTGAGATGGAAAATACAGCTAAGTGCCAGCCTGTGTGCACGCACACTCTGGCAGGTATTTGAGTAGTTATCAGGCAGTTTATAACAAGCCCATTGCCCCATTCCTTCAACCAGGTGCCCAAATGTTGATGTAACGTACTGGTTGTGTGGCACTGATAAAGAAACTCTCAAACTGGATGACCTTATTCAGCCCCCTTCAGACTGTTCTGCTCAAATAAATCATGGCTGATTTATATCTTTGTCTGAGCTGCTATCCCTAATACCCTTGCTTAGCAAAAATCAATCAAAGGTGTCTGACAGCATCATGAAATTCTTGAGTGGAGTCATGGGGAGCCAAGGATTGGACCAGTATAATTTCTGAACATCTGCCTTTCTCTCTGTAGGAGGGGACTAAGGGAAATGGGAAAATTTTGGTCTCCGTTTTGCCACAGTTTCATTTCCTTACTGAGTGGATTCTTGCTGTTTAGAGGCGCAGGCACTAAGAATTGCAGGAAGGAACCAGACCTTAGTAATGCTAGAATTTACAGATAAACCAAAACCCTATGATATTTTGTTTCTCTTTCTGCACTGAGTGAGGCATCTCGCTGGCATTAGTGAATGCTGAGAAGCTACAAAGAATTTGTGCTACTTAATAGCATGATTTAAACAAAATCTTCTACTCTGTGACCAATAGCCTGGAATTTGCTGGCCCTGTATGTACTCTGCCTCCTGCTTTGTCCTTTCTCCACCACCACCACCACCACCACGGCCTCCCTTCCCCTCCCCTCCCCAAGCCCTCTTTGTTATGGTTGCTGGCTTTCACCCTGTTATCAGCATTGGGATCACAGGCTGCACAATCGCACAAGGCTTTGGGTGGATCCAGTGACTGACATCTTCAGTTCTGTTGTAAAGTGCTGGCACTGAACTGAGTCTTTGTACAGGGCTGCTGTGGGGTGGCACCCACTCCTATCTCTGCTGTCCCATGTTGAAGATGTTTTCTTTCTGCTCTGAAATGAGGTGTTTGTTGTGATCTCTGAAATTTGCAGTAAAACCAGTTGGGTGACATGATTGGTACAAATGGAAAGAAAGAACTTGCATTTATGTAGCGCCTTCCATGGCTGCTGGATGTCCTGAAGCACTTCAAAGTGTAGTCATGGTTTTAACTACATGCACAGCGAGTGCTCTCAAACAGCAAGGAGTGACGTCGGGTGAGGAATAAATATCGGCCACGACGGCCTACTCATCATTGAATAGTGCTGTGGGATCTTTAACGTCCACCTGTGAGGGTGGACAGGGGTCTGTTTAACATGCCATCTGGAATATAACACCCCTGACAATGGGGTAATCTCTTAGCACTGCATAGGTGTGTGTCAGCTCTGGTTTGTGAGTCTAAGTCCTGGAGTGGGACTTGACCTTGTACCTTCTGATTCAGAGACTACAATGCCACCCGCTAGTAATAGCAAACTGAATTTCTGGATGGTTCTGGCCTTTTTAAAAATTTTTCTTTATTCTTTTAATGACTGCAACTAGAGAATTTAAACAGAAATTTTTGGCTTTTAGTTTTGTTATCCAGAGTGTGCAGTGACAATGAATTATTAAAAATTAAACATATTGCTCTCGAAGGTAGCAGTGAGCACATTCATGAGCCGTTGCAGCTGTACACCCACTGAATTTTTAATCCAAATAAAAAAACCAAAGTGGTTTGCTTCGCCATTTTGGAGGGCACTTCGGAGTAAACAGAATTGTTGAGGGTTGTAAGCCAGACTGCACAAGTTGCTATGAATTCCTCCCCATATGGTGAGTTTTGGTGACTCTTTTTAAGATGGTAGTTTCATGGCCATTGTTAATGAGACGAGCCATTTTATAAAACTTTTAAATTCCCTTGACTTCCAGTTGGTGTTGTGGGATTTGAACTCCTGTCCTTGGAGCAGTACACAGCCTTCTGGATTGCCAGTCCAGTAACGTTACAGCTGTGCTACCATTCCTGGTTTGTTTTTGTATTGATGTTGATTTTTGAAGGATAAATATACTCGATGACATTGTGGATAGATTATATGACTGCAGGGTGGGGTGGAAAGGGAGGGAGGGAGAGAGAGAAGGAAAATAAAATGTTCAGTCAACCACTGAACATGATGCAATAACCCTTCCTTCCGTGCTGTCGAATGATGTGCAGGGCTGGAATGTCTGTAGACTGTCAAGTGTGTGTGTGGTGTAATGAGGAATAGGAGCCAGAAACAATCCTGATGACTGCTTCCTGTTTGGGATTTGGGTGGATGTTGCTTGGATTACAGTGTCTGAATCCACCAGTGATGTAATGTGCAGCTGCTGTACTTCTGAAGAAACCTGGACTTTTGTTGCTGTCTAGTTCAACACTCCAATCGCAAACCCAACTGACAGCTTCACAAACACAACTTTCTCTTCTGTTAGTTACAAGGTCATCACAGAATCAGTTGGATGATTAGACCTTAACCAAACACTGGTCACATGTCCCTAATCTTCATGGTTCAGTGTCAGATTTTTTGATAATATCACTGAAGTATAATGGGACTTGAGTTTATATAAAATGTTTTATGCTGGAAATAAACTTACTGTCAAAACATTAGGTGAAAAGTGATCTGTCCTGATGTAGTATGGCTTGGTACGAGTTGAGTTTTGCCCTTCAGAGGAGTTTGTAGCTTGTAGTCTCAAGAGGTTTCATCTTGTCTGCTCAGATCCTGCTACAGCAAATCAAAAAGCTCATAACCGATAAATCTACCTCCAGTTAAATGACCCGTGAATGCTAAGCTTTTAAAAGAAACCAGGAAATGCACTGTGGGTCAGTTGGTACCAGTAAAGAGACAAGACTGGGTCTGCAGGTCTGTGTGATTTTTTTTTTTTTCTCTTAGCTCACATTTCTGCCACTTTCAATTATTCCTGTTTTCATATTTGGCTGCTTTCTGTCTTGGTACTACAGGAGTTAACGAGATCTGAATCTTGTGTTGTATTGCTACACAGGGAGTGTTTGTCCTATAGCAGAATAAAAGCAATTTCAGCAAATCTCCTCTGAAAGAAAAGGATTTGCAGCATTACCTGCCAGAATTCCTCATATCACAAATTTTCATTGCAATACCATTCCCACCTTTCTCCTTTCTCTCCTCAGAATTGGGCTTTACGCTGGACTTTTTTTTTTAAACTTTGAAAACATCTTTCCTTTTTTCTTTTCCCCACATTTTCTCTCTTTCCCTCACTCTCCTCTTTTCTACTCATTTGCCTTGATGAAGACCATTGGGAGAAATTAGGAACAGCAGTAGGCCATTCAGCCTGTTAAGCCTGTTCAGCCATTTATGAATAATCTCTCACTTGCTTTGAAGTGCATCTGCCACAGTTTTGTCCATTCATTTACTCTGTCAATATCCCTTTGCAACTTTATGCTATCATCTACACTGTGTACAATGCTGCCTATCTGCCACGATTACAACAATCACAAGAGAATCAGGTTAAATGATTGCTGGAGATACCAAAGGTTTGGTGTTGAGGGACCAGAAACTGAAGGTGTTGTTTATTTTTTTTAAAATGAATAGATGAGATTTGATTCTTAGTCCATTCGTTTGTTAACCAGCAGCAAAATGGATTGCAATTTGCAGGAGTGAATGTTTCTTGTCCTCTCTTGAAGATTTTACTTGAAGGGGTCTGAATGGGTGATCATTCTCTGAGGCAGCCTGGGCAGTATAAATTTTTGACAGCATGTTTTCCCACCAGGAGCTACTGCAGGTGGGGATTGATGAAATATCTGGAAAAGCTCAGCAGGTCTGGCAGTACCTGTGGGGAGAAATCAGTTAACGTTTCTGGTCTCTGGACCCGAAACATTAACTCTGATTTCTCCCCACGGATGCTGCCACATCTGCTGATTTTTTTTCCAACAATTTCTATTTTACTTTGATTTCCAGCATCTGCAGTTCTTTCAGTTTTTTTTTTGATGAAATGGGTGTCCTGGCTGAAATACTATTTTCCTCCTTTTTATTTTTCCCCAGTCATTGCTCAGTTCCTAGCACGCTTCCCCACTTCTTCACGAGGTACGGAGTTGAAGCCTAACTCCAGGATTTGAGCACAATGATCAAGGCCAACACACTGGGGCAGTATCCAGGGAGTGCTGCTCTGAGGTACTATCTCCGATGAAATACATTGAGGAAACCAAAACAAAGTTGCTGGAAAAGCTCAGCAGGTCTGGCAGCATCTGTAAAGGAGAAATAATGAGGTCCTGTTTCCCTCCTTGGACAGATGTAAATGATGCACGATACTATTTTGAAGAGAAGTAGCGTTCTCCCTGGTACCGGGAGGGGTTAGAATTGATGAAATAGCTGACAAATCAACATCTCACACACCAATCCGATTCATTATCACATTGCTGTTTGCAGGAACATGCTGCCACGTTTCCTATTACAGCAGTGACTGCACTTCAAGTATGTCATTGATTTGTAAAGTGCTTTGAGTCATCTAGCAGTCATGAAAATTGCTGTTAATTTCAAGTGTTTTCCTCTTCCCTGCACCCCAACTGTATCCACACCCCCCCAACCACCACCACCACCTGTTCCTCTGTCTTGCCTGACTGTATTAACTCTCAGAAACCTGAATCTTTCTAGTGATGGGGTTGGTGGGGTGCCAAGATGATAAATCCTTGCACGTGGCAGTCACTTGATTTGTTTGTTTGTTTGTTTTTTTTTGAAAGGTCTGTATTGTTCCTTCATGCCTTGCTGAGACTTCTCGTAATGAGTGGATAAACATCTGCAGAGTGTGAATCCTAGTGTAACCCTTCACTGCTAACTGAGTTCAGTTTGTCTTTCAGTATTTAACAAAACAGATCGAACTCCTCCGTCAGATGAATGAGCAACATGCTAAAGTTTATGAGCAACTTGATGTGACTGCTCGAGAGTTGGAGGTGACCAATCAGAAACTTGTAATGGAAAGCAAGGCATCACAAAATAAGATTATGAGGTAATGAAATATTTTGGACCTAAAATATCTTGACCATTAAAAATCTTGTTTTTCTAAGGTTAGACATTTTGAGTTAACGTTTTATGAATGAAAATGACCACAGCAACATTTCCCATTCAGTATTGCTATGTCAACAGTCACAAATGGAACTGCATGCTTGTCCATAAGGTGGCTTTGTAGGATTTTTCTTAAGTAACACCATCCAGTATACAATAAAAGTGTTCAACTGATGCTCTTGCTATGTTAACTAGACCGGGTCTTGATTAAGAAATTGCTAGACAACATGCAATCACAGGATAAATGAAGATTTGAATTTAGGGCAGACAGTGTGATGTTACTAAACTTGCTAAATGATCTTTATTGACTGTCATGTTGGCTGTGTTGCCACACCTGGTGTTTCTGCCTCATTAGTAAAGTCATTGTTCAATATTAAATTAAAGATGGTATTGAAAGCAGAGAGTGTACGAGACTGTGCGTGATATTAGTCTATCTAGAATGAGTCAGAATGTGTTGAGTGGGGTGGGTTCTACATGGTTATTTTGATTAGATCAGTATGTGTGCATGCCTGTATATATGCTGTTTAACTTGTTTCAACTTTGATTTCAAATGTTACTAATTTCTACAGGTGATGTGAAACTCTGATAGCCAGCCACTATTTAATAGTGAGAATTAACATGGAGGGACCGTTAGGATTGAAAGTAAAATAAGGGAGGTAGACAACTTGGATGGTCAGAACTCTGGGGAAGAAATTCCAGAGTTTAGGAATTGGATAGCAATGGTAGATTGAAGGAACCTGATGTGAGTGCAGATAGAACACTTTTTTTTAAATTGTGTTCAAAGTCTCTTGACACCCTTGCCTAGTATAAACTCTCCAACTTGATAGTGTCCCCTAAATCTCCATGAGCATCTTGGGATTTTTACCTAATAATTGGGTCAATTTTTAGACTTCTATTGAATCCAACTCAATCATCACATAAATCTAAATTGTAAATCTGCTGAAATCGCAATCCTCTTCACCTAAGGTCTCCAAGTTGCTAGTATGTTTGTCAGACTGATCGATTACTTGTCACTATGACCTCTGCTGCAGCTCTCTACAACAGTTTTTTAAATGGATTTGTCTGATTGTTTTTGGTAGCTTAGCAGAGACGATCGAGAGTCTACAGTCTCATGTTGATGAGCTCCAGAGACAATTGGAGGAGCTGAAGGACAGTTCACGACAAGAGGGAACTGACCAAAAGAGGACGATGCATAGCCTTCCGTGTCTGAAAGAGTTATATGATCTTAGAAAGTAAGTCCCACCATCAGTGTTCTTCTATTAAAACTGAAACATTTTCTCATAAGTGCCACCACAGTGTTCTTCTATTAAAACTGAAACATTTTCTCAGCGTCTGCATGTTTGTCCTTCTCCAGCTGAAATGTACAGTGCTCCTTGAGATTGAGGATTTGTCGTGGCTCAGGTGAGTGCTGCTCTCAGCTCTGAATCAGAAAGCCCTTGGGTTCTATTCTCTCTGCAGAGATTTGCACTTGTAATCCAGGCTGGCACTCTCACTACAATAAAGGAGTGCTGCACTGTCTGATCTTGTTGAATTGAGGCCCTGACTGACCTCCCAATAAATGTAAATTACTCCATGGTGACAATCTTAAAGAATGGCAGAGATTTCCCTGAATTCCTGGGTCAAATGTTACCCTTGCACCAGCTACTAAAACTTGATCAAAATAAAAACCGAAAGAACTGCGGATGCTGTAAATCAGGAACAAAAACAGAAGTTGCTGGAAGCTCAGCAGGTCTGACAGCCTCTGAAGAAATATTGAGAGTTAACATTTCGGGTCCGGTGACCCTTTGATTCTTGGGAGCTCCTCTGGTGGATCAAAGCCTTTAAAATCTTGAAAAAAATCTGGAAGAAGCTTCCATCAAACTGCATGCAAGCAGTCCTTACTGACATCACCCCAGACCTCCACGATAATGTCAACTGCGTTCTTGATGTTAAAGCTCTTCCAGAACTGTCCTTATCCCCCTCAGTGGCTGCAGTCAGCCTCTTAAATGTGCGCCTTAAATAATAAGCTTTAAAAGCTGCTATTGCACCTTGGTCCATGGGTTGAAAGGGAGAGGTTGTGTTTGGGGGTAGAAATAACACTTTGGTGAGGTTTCTGAAAACATCAATGGTGGGAGGATGCCTTGGTGCATTATCCAGGATGAGGAGAATTTTGAAATCCAAATATTTTTTCCTGCAATACTTTTCTAAAAACATTTTCCAAAACATCATCAATAAAGTCAAAACAATTTGCCCAGTCATCCAACCTCTCTTGCTTGACCTAAAGTAGATGCCCAGAGTAGACTTAAGGTAACCTTCATGTCTCGTGGGTTAGGGTTAGGGCTGAAAGTTAGCAGTGCAGAGTGAATTGGTCATTAAGACCTGGGAGGAGATCAGGAAGGAGAATGTGTGGTCAAATTATTCAAGGAATGTGGGATATCCAGTCTAGAGATTCTGACCTGTGTGGCTCTCTTTCTGTCTCTCTCGAACACCCTATCCTCCCTTGCCATCACAGCTGGTTGTACACCCAGTCCAGCCTTCCTCAGGGTTGAGGGGCAGGGGTTACTGATCAGACCACAAAGGGAGAGCTGGCACCGCCACTACAGCTGCTGCTCTACCTGCCCGGCCCTTGCTCTGTGTTATTCTTTTAGTACCTGTGCTAGTTTACTATGCACCATGCTGCAGTAAATTCCCTGTCTCAACTGGGCGGTGGGGTCAAAAACCTCCAGTGCACTGGATTGGACAGCAGAGATGATTTATGCAATGACAACAAGATTGCTGGTATTGATGAGCTATGTCATGTTACAATTGAAGGAACAGTTTGTGAGTTACTCTGTTCTGAAAGTGAGGAAAAGGAGGGTGTTTTTAATGGATTTTAATACATGTTTAGGTGATGTTCTGCTAATTATTGGCATTTCTGCAGTGGGGTTTAAAAACTAAACATAATTGTATATCCTACATTAGTCTTTGAGATTGCATTCAGTACCCACAATTTAATGTCTGTCTACTTCCAAGTTATTTTGAATTAAAATTCAATAATAAAAATACTGTTAGCAGAAAAGGCAAACTTGGGGCAGGGTTGGGAGGAAGTTGTTGACTTAGTAACTTTTCTAATTAGCCAGTGTGCTGCTAATGACATGATGGGAGAGGTCAGACTTTAACCTCCAATACTAGCTAGTTAACCTGCTAATTTTTGCCCAATGATGTAATTTTTTTTTTAATACAAGTGTATATGATGGAGAGATGACACCAGGGCTCTGATTTTATTCCTGACAAATGAAAAATTTCCATTGCAATCCCGTAACACATACCGGAATTTTGGAACATCTGATTTAGACATTAGAGTGAGTGTGTTTGGGTGATTATACAGGATCTGGTATTTTCTATTCACTGTCTTGTTTGAATGTTTAGTTTGCCTGCATTGTGCACCCCTTGAACTCCAAGTTTCTGTCTCTGGGCTGACTGCTATCTACTGAGCCAGAGCTGATATTCCCTGAGTCTACGTAACTACCCTGTCTCTGGGACTTCTCTTTGATTTACGCAATAGATATTAGCAGCTGTTACTCTTGGCTAGAGAGCCTAGCAATGGAGTTTGTAATCTCCAAGATAAAGGGTTAACCCTTTGGCACAGTAATGAGGAGAAATGTTGTCACTTGGAGTTAGGAATCTTAGGAATGTCTCCACCCTGAATGTTCAGATTCACATAAGATTGAAGTCCATGACTTTTTGGAAATAGGGAAAGTTGCGATTATGGGGATAATGTATGAACATTGAGGAGCTAAGGTGGTAGATCAGCCAGGATGGCATTGAATGGTGGATTGGGCTTGGGGCTCAATGCCTGTTTGCAGTTCCTGTTACTGATATTCCATCTCTCTGTCACATGGGGAGTATCAACACAAACTGTTGAAAGTTGACTGACTTTTTTGGAATGTTGTGCTGCTGATTTACTGTTTTCTTTTCTCTAACAGGTACTTTGTGTACGACCACTTGTTTGCTGCCGAGATCACGTCTGATGAAACGCACATTCATCCGCTGGAGGACGAGAATGAGAAACTAAAGAAGAATATGAGGATGCTGCAGGCTCAGCTGACCCTGGAGAGACAGAGGAGAGAGTGTGTGGAGCAGGAATATTCTCTGTTGCTGAAGGAGAACGGTGAGCTGGAGAGAAGCCTCTCCAGTTTGGATGAGTACAAACAAAGTATCCAAGAGCTGGAGAACAAAGTGATGGAATTGCGACAGAGAGGTCAAGGGGCGGCTAATTTTGTCAGCGTGGTGGACAATCTGCTCCCTGAATCCTTCCTGTTTTCTGGGAAGGATTCTTTGGGCATTGAGCAATTCTCTGGGATCAAGGTTTGTGTGAATGGAGAGAGCTTGCCGGCTGAGCAGACTCCATTGCTGTCCAGTGAGACCGTGCAGAAGAGCAGCTCTGATGAAGATCTGGTGAAAGGCCATGAGCAGACCTGTATCAGGAGGGCTGAGGCAGTTCGCCAGCGAGGCATCTCCCTTCTGAACGAGGTGGACGAGCAGTACATTGCCCTGCAGATGAAATACAATGAGCTGCTGAGCAGGTGCCATCCCCAGGGGGAGACACTGAACCACAAAGCTGTGCAAACCTCTCAGCGTCTCTCCCAGGACAAGGCTGGTCAAAGCGTTCCCATTGCTGAGCCCTTGAGGAATGATTCAGTGACTTGTACTGCTCAGCAACTTCCCACTGTGGAACTGACCAGCTCTGCCAATAACTCCCAGCCAGAATACAAAGTTTTGTTCAAAGAAATCTTCAGTTGTATCCAAAAAACGAAAGAAGAGATCAATGAAAGCCGATCAAAATACAAATCTGTCTCCTTGCAATATCCAAATGTAGCTCAACTACAGCAAGAGGAATAGAAAAATTACCAGTATTGTATCTGTAGTTGCAATAAAGCATTAGGAACTGAAAAGCCACCAGACAACCTCGTAACTTATTTTGTAAAACAAATATTCCTTTACAATTCTCTGTCCCATTAGAGGAAGGACTTGAAAGGATCCAAGAATCAAAAGGAGCTGTTTGATATAAATGTATTTGTAAGTTGTGTGTGTGTGTGGGACTTTCTCAAGCAAAGAAAGTCCACATTTTTAAAAAACAAAATGTATTTCTACCTTTGGATTGTCTGTATGATTATTGTTCATTTTCTAAATGTAAAGAATCTTGAGTTACTGAAATAGATGGTTTATATAAACTGCAGGGGAAGGAGCAGCTATTTTCCAATAATCCCAAGACCCGCGTAGCCAGAGAGGTTTTTGTATCAGTCTCAGGTGTTATTGGCCTCTTTACAATGGGAGTGCCACATTGGCCTGGGTTGGTGATGCCAGGCTGGAAACCTCTGTACACTACCTGGTGACCTTCACAGGAGCATGTCTATGAATTGAGTTTGTGCTGAACCCACGGCCCAATAACTTTTTCTACCAGGTGATATCAAAACTCACAGTATAATCACTGAAGTACCCTGGAATAGTGTCCCATTGTGGACTGACTCCCTTTAACCCCTGTTATTCTCTATTATATAAAGAATTGCTTTGCTTCAAAGGTGGGGAAAGAGGGATGGTGTTGGAAATAATGCTTAGTGAGTTTTTTTTTCCTGAGCATACTGGCGTATACCTCGCTCTTATTTGAAAGAATAAAATTGTGTAGGAGCAAAACTGTCTTTAGTTCAGTTTTATATTGCTGCACATTCCTATTGTGTAATACTGTGTACAGGGCATTTCAAAATCTCTCTTCACTCAAGTGTTATTGTCAGGTTGGTACAAGACTTTGTTTCCTCCTTTTTGAGGAATGTATGAGGTTACATTTGGAAATGTCCACTTAACATTCTGAGTTTGAGAAGGACTTGCATTTTATATACATCAGCCAGGATGTTCCAAAGTGCTTTACAGCCTATTATTGCATAATAATAGTCAGCATTTCAGAAAGAACTGAGACAGCAGTGATGTGATGGTAACCAGATAAGTTGAGTGTTCTTGCATTTCTCCAATCTGTTGACCAGTTAGAGATCTTCTACTGATGTTGAATCATCCTTTTTATGTTCAATAGGAGCCTGCTGCATGACCTGCTGGCTAAGCTACAATTGGGTGACGAGCCAGACCATATTCACGGCTGCTTTTTAAAAATTTCAGATGTGAACACGCTGGGTGGAAGTGTGTGTTGGCAGCTGCAGTTTGGTTGGCAAGCTCAATTGAGAAAATGCTGCAAATTCAGCACGTCAGCATCAATGAAGAGGGGAGTTATTAATATTGCAAGTATGAATGCTTCTTTAGAACTGGAGATCACAGGACAATTGCAGGAAAAAATAGGTGGAATAAGAGGACATGCAATGATTTGTGTAGTGCTTAAGTGGTGAATGGGAGAGGCTGCTAGGAATGAGATGTGTACTTGGGGGACACCCCACGTTTAATTTTTGAGCTTGATGAGTTAATGTTTTGAGCTGGAAAGTAGGAGTGAAATGGGTTTTGGATTTGCAGGAAACCAGTAGTGAGAAGGTAAGTGAAGGATAAAATACACAAGTGGAAGAATGGGAAGAGAAGGGAACAGAACTGTCAACCATTGGCTAGTGGTACCTTAGGAGGTGACTGAGATACTGGGTATTTGTGAATTTGGCTGAATTGACTAACACTGCCAGGCTTTCCATGAGAAGTGACAAATGAAATTCTGGAAATGTTCCAAGGAGTAATTGATTTCCTAAGGGGAAAACAGCATAAGCAGCACTTTGGGATTTAACTGCTACCAAATTCAGGTGTTTAGCTTCGGTCGATTTAATTATATACAACTCACCATAGATTTGAGGCAAGCTGTGGAACACTGCATCCTTCCGGACATGAATGTGCTTTATGATTACAGAAGTTTATGATGGTTTTCAAAAGGCTTTATTTTTAAATACATGGCTTGCTACACCAGCCACACTGCCTATGTTTGTCAGTCACTTTGTGCTGCGTTTTTTATGAACCAATTGGAAACTTAAACTTGTGGTACTCTTGAGATTTGTCCCTTTTGTCACATATCTGACTACAGGAGTTGATCGAATCCGAACAACTTGTTTTGTGAATTCACAATGTCTAAACTTGAAATAGGTGGTTGGTAGAAATGAGAATTTAAATTCAAAAGTTGGTTTAATGCAGTGTTTCGTATGACAATGTAGAATTGTTCTGGAATTGTTGATTTATATTGAACATTGTCTCCATTTGCTGAAATTGTTCAAGTCAGTATTTGAAGTTCATAATAAATAACTTCTGATTTTCAGCTTTTATGGTTTGTTTATGCCTTGGTCCAATTTTATATAAGCCTGGAAAAACTCAAAACTCAAAGTTGGAATAAATAGTGAATGGAATCAAGGAACTGATTAATTATTATTGCAGAGGGGAAGGGGTTGGGCTGCAGTTAATGGAATATATCACTTTGATGGAACCCTGCTGCATCAGCTAAGTAATAAACCAAAACATTCAATGGAATAGTCAATTCCTAGTTTATTCAACTTCTAGATTAACAAACTACTTCGGGGTGATGCTGGGAAAGGAAATGACAGTAGTGCCTCTCAAGCAGTGGAGTTAGAGAGACCACCTTTTAATTGTGATTATAGGAATTGACAAGGAAGGTATGAAATTACCAAAACAGTTCAAATCAATAGTCTTATTGATTCAGAAGCCTGTTCAGACCTCTCCTAGAAAGATATCTACCACCTTCTAGTTCCTATTGCCCTGTCTGTCCCTAGTGTATTAAAAATTGACTGCTCCCTTCCTCTTCAAATAATTGTCCTCCTTCCCTACTCCACACCATTCCTTAGCTATTATCCATTGATAAAACCTCTGCCTGTATTTAGAAGGAAGAGTATTATGTAATTGTGATTTTGTTGAATAGTCTTTCATGCAACTGGCAGAAAGAGCTCTTAGCATAGTAAGTGGAGGGAATGATCAGACTACAGTTACTTCAACTTTCTAATTTTCCTCCTTAATCTAGACCAAGTCAAAAGTAATATTTTGGAAAGTTAAGTGCACAATATTGAAAACAGCTACTTTTAAGCATCACTGCTCCTTTATCTGACTTGGTTAGTCATTGTTTCCCAAGCAATGCAAATTTTTGCAATTATAGAAATGTCCTTAGCCAAAGTGCAACACAGACATCAATTTACAACACTGGGAATAGTTTGTCTATATTTTAATAGTAAGTTGCACATGTCATTGTGAAGCAATATAAAACCATGTTGATTTCATAGTGAGATCATCATCTGATCATAAAACATGTTCCAGCACATTGTGCTGTACAGAATAATAAATCAAAATTCATCACCTGATAGCAACTGAAACAAAGACTCCTGTTCAACTGTGTATCTGAACTCTACCAGATCCATATATAGTTCTAAGGGCAAAGAAAACAATCTGGGTTTATAGATATATTTGTTTCTGTACTTTGTGCATATTGCACCCTGTTCACATCAGCCCTTTAATCCACAAGCAACTGAAGTCTCAATCACATCAATCTACCTTTTTCCTGATCAGTAAAATCACAAGTGAGGATATAATAAAGCACTAAGGAACCTTTTTTTAACATTTAAAGTATGGGATGTGGGTTTAGATCACTGGATAGAGGTACATTGATCTCTGTCAGTTTCAGATCATAGTTGTCTTTATTCCAAAAAAAACTGGATTAGTAGCCTACTGCTATTAGCTTGCATTTATGAATAAGAAAATAAAATCAGCTAATTTTTCTCTCTCCCCACACACACAAGCCTGCTGGGGTATCAATCTATGTGAAAATCAAGAGGTTTGATTTTCATATGCCGGTGAGGATTACAATCTCATTCAAGTAACATTCATTTACTAGGTTTGAGGGAGTAGGTGGTGTTGCTCCCTCTGGGCAGAGCAACCAGCACTAGTGGTCACAGTTTCTAAGGGACAGACCTCCCCACTACAAAAAGGGATGAGGATCTTTAGAATTCAATATCCCAGAAAGCAGTGGATACACAACATCATGCACATTCATCTCTCTAAACTGACATTATATTTGACAAAAAGGAGGTGGGGATCAGAAAGGATGAGAAGTAATAGATCAACCGCAATAGCATTGATTGGCAACAGGCTCAAGAGGTCATATGTTCTACCATGATCCTAGTTCTGACACACTTTGGTACATTAAAACGACATGGGGTAGAATAAACAAAGGCAGTTGAACAGAAACAAAACAAACTTCTTTTACCTCATACAGAAGTGATTTACATTTAGAGTCAGAATATAATAAAATGTAGTTATTAATCACAATCCAACCAGTCTTTGTCAGCAACAGTAAGACATATCACAAACAAAAAACAGGGGAAATGTGGATGACTGCAGTAAACAACTATGAGAAACAAAGGGTTCAAGGAAAGGTATCAAACTTTAGAGGTGGCAGACAGGAGCAAATAAAATTTTGAAATTTACCAACAATGTACGTATTAAAACAGGCACTCTCCAACAGAAGCAGCATGGACACTTAGTCCATGAACTTTTCTACATTTCCCAGGCAGATCTATAGAGCAGAAAATATACATTCCGTACATACACAAGTTTAGACTTACAAAACTTCACAAATAAAAAGGCATAGCAACCCCATGGTTTAAACATTTTATTTACAGAGTTCATCTCTGACTGTGCAGCAACTTAACAGATGCTACACTTCTCACCTGCAAAATGACTTTCAATGTGGAATATAATTTTAAAAAACACTAATATGCCACACAAAAAGGTAACTTGGAACCAAAGGAATTCAGTACAATTCACTGGTATTAAAACAGCAAAATGCCAAATTAAAACATTCAACAGATAAGGTGAATCTCTTTCACGCCAGGATTTTACGAAATTGCCAGTTTACAGCTTTTATTAATGAAATAGATTAGATTTTGCTTTTTAGAGATGATCTTTTAATGAACAGAACCAGAGCCTTTGGTTTGCTTGCCCTGTGTAATAAACAAGTGCATTTAGGAGATCAGGGATTAAACGTGATTTCAAATGACAGAAGAAATGAAACTGTATTCCATGATTCCTCATGACTGGAGGCAAAGAATGAATATCGAGAACCAATCAAAACTTTATTTTGTACATGGAATTAAAAGCAATAAATCCAGGTCAGATTTGCTAAGCTGCAAACATTAATTAGGCTCTTATTCCCTACATAGGTAGATGTATCACTTCATCAGGCTCTCATTGAGTTACAATGAATGGTCAAAGGCTTGAGTGTTGTATGGTACGATTGTCTGTTATCCCATCTCTGGAGCGATGCCAGCGTTCCACCTTCATTCATCATCTCATTGCCCTGAACCGAAAGACAGTCATTGTGTAGGAACAGGGCATTCTGCAGTTGTCAAGAAGGCAGGGTCCCTTTAAGATACCACATTCCACCATGACTTGCACAGCAGTCCTATGAAGGAAAGTTCAAATTGACATTTACAATGCTAAGGAATAGAAACATCGAAGATAGGAGCAGGAGGCGGCCATTTGGCCCTTTGAGCCTGCTCCACGATTCTTCACGATCATGGCTGATCGTCCAACTCGATAGCCTAATCCTGCTTTCTCCCCATAACCTTTGATTCCATTCATCCCAAGTGTTATATCCAGTCGCCTCTTGAATACATTCAATGTTTTGGCATCAACTACTTCCTGTGGTAACGAATTCCACAGGCTCACCACTCTCTGGGTGAAGAAATGTCTCCTCATCTCCGCCCTAAATCGTCTGCCCCGAATCATCATACTGTGACCCCTAGTTCTGGCCACACCCACCACTGGGAACATCTTCCCTGTATCTCGCCTGTCCAGTCCTGTTAGAATTTTATAGGTGTCAATGAGATCCTCCCTCATTCATCTGAACTCCAGCAAAAACATCCTAACCTAGACAATCTCTCCTCATACGTCAGACCCGCCATCCCTGGAATCAGCCTGGTAAACCTTCATTGCACTCCCTCAAAAGCAAGAGCATCCTTCCTTAGAAAAGGAAACCAAAACTGCACACAATATTCTAGGTGTGGCCTCACAAAGGTTCTGTATAACTGCAACAACACATCTCTGCTCCTGTACTCAACCTCTTGCAATGAAGGCCAACATACCATTTGCCTTCTTTACCACCTGCTGTACCTGCATGCTTACGTTCAGCGACTGGTGCACAAGGACACCCAGGTCCTGCTGCACACTCCCCTCTCCCAATTTACAGCCATTCAGGTAGTAATCTGCCTTCTTGTTTTTGCTTCCAAAGTGAATAACCTCACATTTATCCAAATTATACTGCATCTGCCATTGAGTTTCCCACTCACCTAAACTGTCCAGATCATGCTGAAAGATCTCTGCATCCTCGTCACAGTTTACCCTCCCACCCAACTTGGTAATCATCTGTAGACTTTGAGATGTTACATTTTGTTCTCTCATCCAAGTCATTAATATATATTGTGAATAGCTGGGGTCCCAGCACTGATCCCTGTGGCACCCCACTAATTATTGCTTGATTTGAAAATGACCCATTAATTCCTACTCTGTTTGCTCTCTGCCAACAAGTTTTCTATCCATCTCAATACACTTCCCCCAATTCCATGCGCTTTAATCTTGCACATTAATCTCTTACACGGGACTTTGTCAAATGCTTTCTGAAAGTCCAAATATATCACATCGAATGGCTCCCCCTTGTCAACTCTACTAGTTGCATCTTCATAGAATTCCAACAGATTTGTCAAGCATGATTTCCCCTTCATAAATCATGCTGACCATCTGATCCTGCCACTGCTTTCTAAATGCTCCACTACAAAGACCTTGATAATGGAATCAAGAATTTTCTCCACTACCGATGTCAGACATACTGGTCTATAATTCCCTGTTTTCTCTCCACCTCCCTTTTTGAGTACTGGAGTAACATTAGCTACCCTCCAATCTGCAGGGACTGTTCCAGAATCTACAGACTCTTGGAAGATCACTACCAATACATCCACTGTTTCTCGAGCCACTTCCTTAAGTATTCCGGGATGTAGATTATCAGGCCCTGGGGATTTATCCGCATTCAATCCCGTCAATTTTCCCAGTACCATTCCTCTACTAATATTGATGTCCCTCAATTCTTCCCTCTCATTAAATCTTGCGTTCTCCAACATTTTTGGTATCTGATTTGTGTCCTCTTTTGCGAAGGCAGAACCAAAGCTGTATTCAGTTGCTCAGGCAATTCTTTGTCCCCTATTATACATTCAATGAAATAAAATGAAAGACTTGTATTTGGATTGCATCATTCACAATCTAGAGATGTAGGTGTCACTGGCAAGGCGTACATTTACGGTCTATCTTTAGATGCCCTGAGACGGTGGTGAAAAGCTGGTACAATGGAGGGCAATTACAAGCCAGTAAGTGTTTGACTTAAATCACATACCAGCTCAACTGGATAAGAATGGTATCTTTTCCTAAAGGATATTAGTGAAACAAGTTTTTACAACAACCCAACAGGTGTATTTTTACTGACAACGACCTATAATTATGTAGTGCCTTTAATGCAATAAAATGCAATCGCACACTTCAGAAGTGCATTACAAACCACTGGGCTACAAAAGGTGGTATCAGAACAGATGACAAAAAGCTGGGCCATAGATGTAGATGTTAAGGAATGTCAAGGGGAAGAGAGAGGCAGAGGGGTTACAGAGGCAATTTGAGAGTCCATGGTCCCCTGACAGCTGAATGCATGTCTGTCAATGGTGCAGCAATCACTGGGGGTATGCGGGAAGCCAAAGTTGGAGGAGTGCAGAGATCTTGGGGCATTAGGGGCTGTACGAGCTTATAAACAAAGGAGAAGTGAAGTTAAGGACTAATTTGAAAACAAGAATGAGATTTCAAAATGGAGGTATTGCCAAAGAATGAGAGGGGTGATGGGTGAGCAGGACTTGGAGAGTTTGGACATGGACAGAAGAATGAGTTCAGGTGTGCAAGGTTGGAAGATGGGCAGTTACTTTAAATTATCCACTTTAGACTGGAGCTCTGCTCCGTTACTTAAAGCAAATTTCAAACCCTGCATTAAGCTGTTGGCCAAATTACCTTCAGCACTTTATCCACATCTGGTTTGCTGAGACTTTCTCCAAAATCCTGGCCCAGTTTAGACTGGATGACATTCCTACGCACACGATAATTTTTTGAAAAAATTTCAAGAAGTATCTGCCGATGCTGAAATGAGAAAATGTCAGTCATGCATCATTGAAGTCTCAAATCAAGTTTGTTTCAAGTATCATGGAGGCGATTCAGCCCATCATGCCTGCTGACTCTCAACAGCAATCAGTCCTACTCTCTGGCTCTTTCCCCACGGCTGTGCTATTTCTTTTCTCTTCAAATGTATTATCAATTCCAGTTGTTATTATTGAATGTGCTTCTGCCACCCATTCAGATATTGCATTGAAGATCAGTACTGATACTTAAGAATAAAAATTCTCATCTCCCCGCTGGCTCTTTCGTGAATTATTTCTCATATCAAAACCCACATTCCAGAGGAAACCTTTTCTCCTGTCTCACAAATCCCTTCATAATACTGTACATGCTGCTCCAATTCACGTGACCTTATTCACTCTGCAATTACTGTATCCAGCCCTTGTTTATTGACTGAGGGGAAGAATGGTTGGGCCTTTTCCATAGTAACATAAACCAGTCAATATCCTATCTATCTGCTTTTTTTCTCCATTCTATTGATACCAAGGTCAGAACACACTAGATATTTCAGACACCATCTTAAGAGACATATCATTATACAAACTGCCTTGTTGAAAATAACTCTAGATCAGCAACCATTCCCATCCCCATACCCCTGACTGTCAGAGTCCCACAGCTGTTATCACACTGTTTACAGTCACAATATCAAGTAATATTGAAATTCAACTGATTTCATAATATTAACGAAACTATTTTCTAGATTATTTTGTGTCTGTGAAAACAAAAGCCATACGTGTTTCACGCTAATGACTCCAATGCAATTTTCCTCCTTTCAATCTCAACTTGCTTCTAGAGTGAAAAACAGGTTTACTTCTTGGCTGAAGGAATCCCTCCTGAGACCATCTAACAATCATAATATAATCTGACACAGCAGGCCATTTGATCCATCATACCAGCACTGTTTTTTTTTTTTTTTACTAGACCCAATGAATTTTACGCCTCCAACTTTTCCCCAGTAGTTCTTGGAAGTCAGTATTAAGTTTGTTTCCACTGCATTCCAGATGGTAATAACACACCGAATAAAACAATTTTTCTCTGTCTCACCACACTGGTTCATTTACTAATCTTCCCACACTGGTCTGGATTCACCCAGTTACTTCCCAGTTCAGCTCACCCCTAATCCTCTCAGGGGCTGGTGCTATTCTGCACCATGGGCTGAGCCCTTAACAATGCAAACCACAAGGAACTAACAATCTGTGGATTAAAGCAGGATTCAGAGCGTTAAAGAACAGTTAAAAAAAGTACTTTGGAATAAAACACTTGCCTGATCAAAGGAGTCCCCAGCTTCCCATAGTGCAAACACCTTCTGTTCGTCAGCTGAAGCAGTTGTCTGTGGAGGGAACTGAACAGCATCTGTGTAAGTATGATTCTGCACTCAAATTGAAAACCAAAACTGGAGCATTCAGTGATGAGAAGTTTGCAACTACATCCATGCGTTGTGCCAAGGGTTGGCATGCCCAAACCTTGCTGTGGCGAACAAGTGATTTACCAAGGTCACTCAGTGTCCTGCCTGTGGAAAGACAGGCAGTCCTATAATTCAAGCCTAAAAAGGATTAAGGAAGGACCAACAGTGGGAAAGATAGAAACTAGGAGCAGAAGTAGGTCATTCAGCCCTTCAAGCCTTCTCCACCATTCAATATGATCATGTGACCTTCTAGCTCAATGCTATATCGCCACTTTCTCTACATACCCCTTGATGCCTTTAATATCGAAAATAAAATCTCTAGTTAAATATTATCAGTGACTCAGCGCCCACAGGCTTCTGTGGCAGTGAATGCCACAGGTTGACCATCTCCGAGTGAAGAAATGTTTCCTCAGCTCAGTCCTAAATGGCCTCACCCCTATCCTGAGCCTGTCACTCTCAACTCCAGAGTTTTTGGTAGTGGTAAGCTATGCACATTTAAGTTCAGTAACACAACTGCTCACTCTAGGGGAGCCTCTAAACCCTGGATCGGTCGAACTGTCTGGACCTGGGTATGTGGGAGCACACTAAGAGAGTGAACAAACTCCATTTTGGGTTACAGACTCAACACTACAAATGGCTCCTATTCATGTCAGATAGTCAGATAACCAAAATATTAAAAAGTACTGTAAAGGAAGGTCTGCATGAACATACATTGCATTACAATCAGGAAGGAAGAAAAAAATTAATAAATTGAGTAAATAGCTTTTCTTTCATGTTCCGGATATCACCAAGAACTTAAAAAAAAAGGACTTATGATGCGGGTATTGTCCTTAAACCTAGTATTTATTGCCCCGGCCCCGACCTAACTGCCCTTGAGAAGGTGATGGTCAGCTGCCTTCTTGAAGCTTTGCATTCCATGTGGTGCAGGTACAGCAACACGACTGTCAGTCCTTGCAACAGCTTGATACAACAGAGATTTGCTGGGCCAATTTAGGGGGCAATTAAGAGTCAAAAACATTGATCAGGAAGACAAGGCTTCTCTACAGGATATGAATGAACCTGTTGGGTTTAAGACAAACCAACAGTTTTATGGTCACTTTTTTATTTTGGATTTTTATGAATTCTTAATGCAATAGCAGGATTTGAAAATAAAAGCTCAGATTGGGAGCTTAGTTTCACATCTATGGATTTCTTGCTCTGTAACATAACCATAACGCAACTGGTCCAACGGTACTTCACAGCCAAAAGGTTAATTCTGGAGTGCAGTTGCTCTGCTATAGTATGGGTAAACATGAAACAATTTGTACACAGCAAGGTCCCACAACCAGTGATGGTCCATTGAATCTTGCTGGTAGAGAATGAACATCTCAACAGGCAGAGAGAGAGGGAGAACCTCCCACCAAAGAGAAGACCAAGCATGCATAATCCCCTCAGCAATGAGCCAAAGTGCCTACATACATTAAATGCTCATCCTACACCAAGGATTTAGAATCTGCTTTCCAGAGGGACTACTCTCTCCGGGACTCCCTTGTCTGCTCCACACTCCCCTCCAGCTCCACCACACCCGGCACTTTTCCCTGCAACCGCAGGAAGTGCTACACCTGCCCCCATACCTCCCCGCTCACCCCCATCCCAGGCCCCAAGACTTTCCACATCAAGCAGATGTTCACCTGCACATCTGCTAATGTGGAATACTGCATCCGCTGTTCCCGTTGTGGCCTCCTCTACATCGGGGAAACCAAGCAGAGGCTTGGGGACCGCTTTGCAGAACACCTACGCTCGGTTCGCACTAAACAACTGCACCTTCCAGTCGCGAACCATTTCAACTCCCCCTCCCATTCCTCAGACGACATGTCCATCCTGGGCCTCCTGCAGTGCCACAACGATGCTACCCGAAGGCTGCAGGAACAGCAACTCATATTCCGCTTGGGAACCCTGCAGCCCAATGGTATCAATGTGGACTTCACAAGCTTCAAAATCTCCTCTCCCCCCTACCGCATCCCAAAACCAGCCCAGCTCATGCCCCACCTCCCTAACCTGTCCTTCCTCCCACCCCAAGCCCCATCCCCGTCTCCTACTTACTAACCTCATCCTGCCCCCTTGACCTGTCCATCCTCCCTGGACTGACCTATCCCCTCCCTACCTCCCCACCTACACTCCCCTCTACTGGCTCCATCCCCGCCTCTTTGGCCTGTCTGTCTCCTCCCCACCTATCTTCTCCTCTATCCATCTTCTATCCGCCTCCGCCTTTCTCCCTATTTATTTCAGAACCCCCTTCCTGAAGAAGGGTCTAGGCCTGAAACGTCAGCCTTCCTGCTCCTCTGATGCTGCTTGGCCAGCTGTGTTCATCCAGCTCTGCACCTTGTTATCTCAGATTCTCCAGCATCTGCAGATCCTGCTATCTTTAGAAGAGATCATTCAGTTAGCAACAATTACAAATAATTACCTTGAACTATAGCACTAAAACAGACCTTTGGGTTCAACATTTTTTATGCCTGTGTTTATACTTCACATGAGCTTCCTCCATCTCCAATGTGTTTCATCCTAACACATCCTTCTACTTCTTCCTCCCTTGTATGTTTCTCAGCTTCCCCTTAATTGTGCCATTCACCTCAGCATTCCCTGTGGTAGAGAGTTCCATTACTCTCTGGGTGAAGACATTTCTCTTGAATTCCCATTTAGATTTTTAGGCAACTATCCTATACTCATGGCCCCAAACTTTGCTTCTCCGACAAATAGAAAACAACAGAATCAAGCCAGATACTCCTACCACTAGGGCCGATGCAATGCCACAACAGATACAGCCTCAGCAGTTGCAACACAGGGGCAAGTCCTAAACATGAAGTGTTGGATTAACAAACCAAGCATGTAACAGTTTTGTATCAGAGATAGTAGGATGAAGGGTCTAGGCCCAAAACGTCAGCCTTCCTGCTCCTATGATGCTGCTTGGCCTGCTGTGTTCATCCAGCTCTACACCTTGTTATCTATGTAACAGTTTTGTTGGGCATCTGCTGCAAGAGCCAGGAATATGGGTGTTAACCTGCATAAGGTGTTTTCAATCAGTATCAACCTCATTCACTTCAGGTGTTTCTCTCCAAATCTATAATCTGGACAGCAGAAAGCAAGCAAAAAGCTGCAATTTAACAACTGTACTCTGAGATACACTGAAGTCTCACTTATAGTTTACATCATCACTCGGAATAAGTTGTAGCCTCTTTGGGGCCTGTTGTAATTCAACACGTCTTCAATTTACAGTGAATAAAATCCTTAGCAGGCTCCCACTTTATTTCCAGTAAATCATTCAGCACAGAGGAGGCGGCTCAGAGGTTAGCGCCAGTTACTGACGTTGGCTGGGCTGCTGTTAGTGAATCCAGACAATTTTCTAGTAGTAGGAAAAACAAACACAAACAAAAGCATCACAACAACCCTGTGTTTTCAATAGTTTAAAATCCCTCTAGAATCATGAAGCACAAGGGGCCATCTGGCCATTTATACCAATTTGGCACCTTTGCACTAAATTCAAAAATACTTCAGATTTCACACTGATTGGAGACATTTCACACATATTCTCTAATCAAAGAGGAAATGTAGATGCAGTAACATGCTGGGAGGAAGGACGCACAGGAGAATAGGTGGAATGATTTTCCAACCTTCAATTCTGCAGTCACATCCTGAAATTGAGGAAAGCAACGACAGCTTGCTAACATCAATGAAACAGATACAGTTGCCCCACTTTCCACCTTCAAAATGTTTCTAAAAATCTAGCTCTATATTTTTGGTCAAAACATACTTTGTTATATGGTTCAGGGTCAAATTTTGTCTGGTAATGACTCTGAGCACTTTGAGGAATTTCTAAGATGCATTAGAAGCACAGGTTGTTACTGTTATCACTGGATCTAACGCTATAACAGCCTGAGCTGCAACAGATTGGGGTTTTTAAAGGAAATTTAGCTCAGATATGAGCTGGATTTATTGTCCAGTTCAGCAGCTCATACTTAGTGCAAGTAAATCCCTTTATCAGTGTGTCTGGAACTTACATGGCCCTTGAAAAGCTTGGTAAATGGATGGTAGATCTGAGAATCGGTGCCTAGTTGTGGCTACTGCATCAAAATTGGAAGGGCAGCAACATTTCCTTCAAGAATCAGCAACAAAATGCTACATATTAACCACAAGATGTAGGTGCAGAATTAGGCCATTCGGCCCATTGTGTCTGCTCCACTATTCTATCAAGACTGATATGTTTCTTGACACCATTTTTCCACCTTTTGCCAGTAACCTTTGATCCCCTTACTAATCAAGAATCTCTCTCTCAGAAAATACTTGGTTTGAACTTGTCACAAGGACACTTCATTCCAGCACTTTAACTCTAAAATCCCAGTCTCTGTGGCTAACGTTCATTGGAATAGTCCATGCCACTTGGCTCCTTAAAGGTCCTAATTTGTTATTTCAATGTGCGCTTCAATTCCTCAAACCAAAATCCTGATTGTTCACTTTTATAATTAGGATGGTGCTGCAACAGGGAGAGAAGGAAGAGCATTAAACCAATATCCATCAGATTTTTTACGGTAGGCTCACTTCATTGAAGTAAAAAGCAGTCTCAAAATTGCCTGGAGATGTGTGCATACTGTATGTGTTGGAAGCACTTCTGTAATCTTATAGCCACATTGTTAACAACACACTATAATTGCTACGGTTAAATTAAATTTAAGCACTAAATAGGGAAGCTGTGGCTCAGTGACAGTAAATGCGACTTGGTATCAGTCGTACAAGATTGCACTATGTCTGGTCAGGGGTGGTGGTATAGAAAGGGTTTGGGATTATTAGTCTTTTTCATTCCTTTATCTGTGCCTGGAGAGTTGCCACCACTTATAGCCCATGGACTGTGCAACATCTTTTGCTACATTCCAATGGCTAGTATAAATATGGTAACATTATAC